TCCAGTCTTTCATCACCTTAGAGGAAACAGGGTGAATACATCTCATAATAACAATCCTTGCCATCTTTGTGAATTGGGCTTGAGTTTAGCCAAAACTATCACACCTCCTATGACCTGAACATTGCATACATGCAGCAGACAATAACACATACCCAAACATGAATCAAGGTTAAAATATTTTACGCTAGTTTACTTGTTTGTGCAATGAAAAAGCAGCAACCGCATCCACTTGCTGTTCACTCATCAACATCATTCATCTGAAATCATTCAGAATCCGTTTGAAGTAACCAAACTAATCATGCGAAGCTTTATTAGGGCAGCCAGAAAAGGTGTGTAAACTAGTGACTATGGCTGCAGCCGGCCACATTTGCTCTTGGTTTAGTATATTTTTTCCACTTTTATGTAAAGTATTGATTGTGGCTCTGATGCTGTCTGTCACGATGGGCCAGACTAGGGTGGAGGGTCGGTGGTCCGAGGACTTTTTGGCATAATCCAATAAGCTCCACTACACTCTGAGACGAATTTCACTCTGTTTCCGGTGAGGCCATTTCACGAATTCGTACCAGCCAACTTTTCCTTCGAAATGAAAAATCTGAGGAATTCTCCAAAGCCCAGTTTATCTTCATAATTTATTTTTGTTTAGTAAGTATGTCTTTAGGCACCTCAAGTGAAATATAATGAATACATTTCATATATATAATCTTTTTATAGTCATGACAACCTACTTATAAACGGGAAATAAGTAGCGTAGTCGATTGCTATAGATTGTTTTATCGACACTTCCACCACAGAAATATGCTGTCAAAAGAGCATAGGCTTGCGTGAATTTCGTATATGCCCTTTGAGCCCAAATTTCTCTGGGCACCGTATCGAAGTGGTTGACTTTACGCTGCACTGGCAAAACTCGGGTTCGAGTCCCGCTAGCGGCGCTGGTTAGACCGTGAGGCAAGGCAGACACTTTCTTCCAGTCGAAATGTGAATACCTTTCAAAAATTTATGTTATGCAAACAATCTTGGGAAAGTTGAACGAATAGGTATCTTCTAATCGAGTAAATTTTTCTTTGCTGGTTCGACAATTTGGTTTAAGCATGAACTCTTTGCGTTTCGAGGACGACCTCTTTACAGAGGTCCTTTTTCAGCCTAAGCCAAGCATTTGGAGAGATCCAACATGGCCGAGAGTAGCATTTTGTGTGGACAAAAGACACCATTCCAGGAGGCAGATCTAGAACGGCTCATTGGTCAAGTAGAGTAATGGGCGTGAGGCAAAGGTCAAAGGTCGACGAAGCCGAAGAGTTAGGATCCATCAACCCAGCATCAGGTACTTTGAAGAAGAACTTGGTTTCTCTGCTCTTCAAATGACCTCCAGCCAGGACGGGGTGGGTGCATCTTGCTTAGGCAAGTCTTTTTCTTTCTAAATGTGAAAAGAATTGAGTTCCGGGGAAACGCTTAAATATTTATTGCTACAATACTTTATGCTTTTCGTTTTGAGTAGATTTTGAGGCTCTTTATGTTGTGCAGAATTGCGTTTTGTATGAACGTGGAGGCTGACGTGAAAACGGATGAAAAAAGAAAGGATGTTTCGTGGACTGCCTTAACCTGAAAGATGTATGAAAACTAAATGCCTGCAGTACAACGATAATATGAGATCGAATTACTTGAACTTCATATGAAATGGAAGTCTGCACTACAATTTTATCTCAGAAGATTCATCAAAAGCCTCATTTTTTCCTAAATATGACTTTATATTCTGAATAAAAAGAGTGCTGGAAGGAATGTGTAGTTTTGGATTTTGCATTAAATTAACAAGTCCTCGATTCACCCTCCTTTTACTCCGGGGAACCCGTGACAAACTTTCGTCGTAACTGCAATGAAAAACATCTTCAAAAAGCGAAGCAATACTTTACGCAAGAATAAACGAAATGTACTAAAGTAAAAAATAACGCTGTCTCGTGGCAATCACACCGAGGCATGCCATGCTTTGTTCGGATATTTCATGTCTAACATATCTTCTTGAGGAGTGTGTGAAAAGAAAGTGGATGTGATAGCAGCTGTGTTCTTGTCTGAATAAACCACCATATGAAATGGTACTTTCAACACATGTTCAGGTGTGTGGTATTGTGACTATTGTGTGCATGTAATGCCCAAGTCATGTGAGCTGTGAGAGTTTTATTCGAGCCTCTTCTTTCTTAGTTCTTCTTCTTGTCTCTCCATAACCCCATCAAACAGACACATATTTTTAACGCTCAATTTTAGTCACACGTTTGTCCTATTCAGGTTGCGGATTTATGTGCTAATCCTACGTTTGAAAGTGAAAATATCATA